AGAACGGGAACATCAAAGCCTCTGTGCAAGAAGCACTGATTTCAGACAGTAGAACGTCAGTGCTTTTGCTCAAAATCAGGCGGCCAGTGTAGACAGCTCTGAAGTTTTTGTGAAAAAGCGGCTGCTTTTGTGAAAAAACTTGCCAGTCTAGATGCAGCCCTTAATTTTTGCTGTTTCATCTCACTCACATTCTTTACCCCATTTGGCATGGACATTGTACCTCCAATATGACCTATTAGACTAGCATCTACTCTGCCCTTCCTCCTTATGTACATTCTCCTACCCCCGGCTAGATCCTTTCTTACTTCATTTTCCTCCCTCTCAATGTTAAAATCCGGCATAGATTACCTGGACATCTCCCAACCGTCTCCCCCAAATTCCTAGTTTAAAGCTTTCTTAATCAGTTGTGCCAGCCTCCATCCTAGAAGTGTGTTTCCTTCCCTACTTAGGTGAAGTCCATCCTGAGAAAACAGTCATCTGTCCATGAATGCTTCCCAGTGGCCATACATCCCAAAGCCTCCTTATAGCACCACTGCCTGAGCCACCTCCTGAGCACCATAATCCTGTCACACCTTTGTTGCCCTTCTCTAGGAACAGGCAGAATCCCACTGAAGATCACCTGAGCCTCGATTTCCTTAAGCATCCTCCCCAACCTGGCATAGTCTCCCTTGATTCGTTCCAGCGAGAATCTAGCCACATCATTTGTTCCTACATGAAGGATGATCAATGGATTCTTTCCCACTCCCTTTAGGATCCTCTTCAACCTCAGTTCCACATCCCGTATCTTAGCACCTGGCAGACAGCACACCCTTCTATTATCTGGATCAGCTCTGGTTACAGGCCTATCTATTCTTCTCAATGAGGAGTCCCCAATCATGTAGACCTGCCTTTTCCTGGTCTTTCCTCTGGCTGCAAGTCTTTTCCATTCCTATCTTCCCTTGTAATCTTCTTCAACACATCCTGTATCCTCCTGGTGTTCTTTATTGGTGTTGTCTCCATCGACTCTTCCCCTTTATGTATGGGACTAGCTACTCTTCTCTTCTTCCTTGCCTTTCCACCTTCAGTGGCCACCTGCTGTATCCCTTCTCCATTCTCCAACTCCACATACCTGTTCTTGAGCTCTATGGGTATGTCTACATTCCCCCCCCCTAGTTCGAACTAGGGGGGGTAATGTAGTCATACGGAGGTGCAAATGAAGCCAGGG